TGTTCTTCTTCAATATTCACCTAAAATCAAATGTTTCATATATCAAATGATATGTTCTAACTTTTGCAAAATGCAATGAAAAATGGTAATCAATAATAGAATATAATTTATTGAGAATATTCTAGAATAAGTTTCTAAATAGGTGGATCAATGTCTAGTTGATTGGAAACCAAAATGATGATAAAGTCTTTGCCATTGAATGCATGAACTCTAACTTTAATAATTCATCATGTGATATAAAGAAAGGGACAAGTAACACTATAAATGCACATTGTGCCAAACCAAATTATTTCCTACTTATAGCTACTTTTAATAAACTAAAATAAATAAATTTGTTAATTAATTTCACTAATAAGATTACTTGTTAAATAAACAAAAAATACTCAGTTAATTATTTCTTTTTTTTACCTCAGCATCATTAGAATCCACTTGAGAGTCAGGATCCACAAGATGATCTGTCAAGTTACAGTTCTCTTCATCTCCTTTGAACTGTATTTGAGGACAATTTGCCCACTAGAAATGAAAAAAAACTTTTCAAAATTATGATTCATCATCAATCCTAAAAATAAAATTTATAGTTTGAAATGATATGAACAAATACTCAAATATACAATTTTAAATTTTATATATGATTTTAAATTGCAGTTAGTATTATTGCAACCCTAATTTAAAACTAGAACTCACATTTTTTGCAGCTGTACTGAAAGCTTCCTTGTGAGCCATATCAGGGTGTTGAGATTTTAGCCTTCTAATCTCTTCTCTGCTTAAAATAATATTTACAATATTAGAATTCAAGATTTACAACTTTATATAATGTTAATAAGTGTATAACTTTGTTTAGTGTAAGTAACCTTACTTGATGAATCGGTTATAAGCTGATGGTGTTCTTTGTCTCTTCTCTGGTGCTACATAGAACAATAACTCATTCATCAAATAAATACCTAAACAAAAACTACTATTTTATATAGAAGAAATTTGAACTTTTTCACTTGTGTACATACGTTTATTGACTACGTTGGTGATTGGAATTATATCATCATCCTCACAATCAGAATAAGTTATCAAAGCCTTGTTTGCATCTTCATCTGGACTACTACTTTCTTTTGGCTGCAAAAAGTGAAAAGAGTTGCAAAATATACAAAATAGATACTAGTGTTTAACTTGAAAAATCTAAAAGAAAATAAACACAAAGTAGTTTGAATACCGTCTCAAGATGAGTAAGAGAGGTTAAAAGATGGAAAGGTACGAAAGAAGCTTTTGTCATATTAACAGATAAAAGACTTGTGCAGTGACCACATCTTACTGTCACCACCATTGACAAACTACTGCATGGAACACTTACCTGCAACAACACAATATTGAGTTTTAAAAAAAAAGTTGCAAATGAAAACTAAATGAGACGAGGTTAATTAAGAAGTGAAGTTTAGAACTGATTACCATTAAAATGGTGTTGCAGAATCCACATTGTACGTAACATATCTGTTCTGGAAGATCAAAAAGATGGTTTAGTGTTGACATGAGTGTGTGAGTGAATGTGAAGCTAGCTAGGTGAGTGTTTGTGTGAAGTGAAAAGAAAGAGAAAGATGAGATATAAGATATGAAGATGTAATGTAACTCTTTTTACACTAAGAAGCATTTATAGTTGAAGCTGAACACTCATAATCAATCATCATCTCACTTTAATGATTTTGTTATATAATGCTGATTTTCATTGCCTCAAACCACTCCATCATTCAAGCTAAGAAAAAGGTTGTATTTGAATTTTTATTTTATTATTTTTTGCGTCAAAATAACATATACAAAACGGATTGTAAGGTGAGAGTTTTCTATCGTTTATATAATTAATTCAGACATTTGTTTAATATATATCTCACACTAAAACTTAAATATTTAAAATACAGTCTTATATGAGTCACGTGATATCTGATATCAGATGATTCAAATGTTAATAAATATTATGAGTGAAATTACAATTTCGACCTTTGAAAGGGTTTATGATATTTTGACCTAATTGATTGAATGTTAATATAATAACTGGCAAACTTCTCCATTGGTTACAGTGGTTCAAAGTTCTAAGTTAGTTTGCAGAATGAGTTAAAGTACTTGTTTGTTTCATGTGTTGTTTTCTCTTTTATTGACACTTATAACTCTCGAAGCCTTTTCTAAGCCCTAGATGAAAATAAAAGTGCAGAAATTTTGGCATGTGTCACTTCTCATCTATTTTTGTTTCACATTGAGTTATAAGATTCTGCATTAAATAATGTATTATCCATTTCATTCAAAACATTTTTTTTGATGTTTCCTTAACTCTCTCCCATGTGATTGCACATGAGTTAGGTTTTTGAGAGTCAAGTGCTAAGATAGAAAAAAATTGTGTTATTACAAGATTGACAATAAGGTTTAGCTTCAAAATATCTTGGATTAATTTTTGTTTGATGAGGTCATTGCATTAAAGAAGGGTGGGGTTTAATATGAAAATTGCCCTAGGTTCTTTAATGCAAACAACTAACATTGGCAATCCTATTCCTATAGGCTTACTAGACCTACTTTTATAAGGTGACTAGGACTAGATTTTTCCACAAAGAACCAGATTTGTGAAACTTTATTACATGTTTTGATAAATAGGTATGTACCACAATCAAAATGAACGAAAGTTGTGAGGTACTTGTGAGGTAGGTAGGAATCAAGAACCGGAGATATACCTCTCTTATTGTTGTATTATTGTATTTTAAGTCAATTTTTGTAGTCTATTATTATACTTAAAGGTATAAAATATTCTTGGATTCTTGCAGTTATAATCTCATTGTTTATATTTTGGACTTTTCTTTTGCGACGATTTTGTCACAACCCTGAAAGATTGTGTGTTTGTTCCCCCTTTGCATTAATTATATCCACTTCTACTTTAGAGATTAGTTATATCTTGTTAGAAGAGTTTGGGAAATCACTTTCATGTAAATAGGAAAATCACATATAATGAAGTTCTTGTGAAGATTTATTTGGTACGATATTCACACAAATATCAAGACATTCACACTAATATTTAAATATATTAGGATGACTATGATTAGTCAAATCAAAGTTACTTACGGATTTAGTTGGAATAAGGTTGTGAAACTAAGGTCATAAGTATCATGAAAGAAATTGTGTGTACATCATTTGCAATATCACTGATTGGTCAATTGACAAGGAGTTTTTTTCTCCTCATCACAAAAGTTTGAAGTGACAAAATACACGCATAATATCAAAGTTATTAAAATCTAGAACATTGAGGGGATGATGTGGTGGTTTATATTCAAGAATTTCATAGTTATGCTAAACTTCCTAAGGCAATTACGACTTTGTTTCTGGCCCTGGTTCCAAAAATTCAAAACCCCCAGAACCTTGACGATTATAGACTCATATGTCTCACTGGGTGTCTGCATAAAATGTTATCTAAGATCCTTGCCTCTAGATTTAGAAAGTTGATTGGTAGGATTGTCTCTAGTTATCAAACTTCTTCATCTCTGGTAGACAAATCCTAGATGGAGTGCTGGTTACCAATGAAATAATTGATTATGCTAAAAGAAGGAAGAAGAATTGTCAGATGTTCAAAGTTGATTTTGCGCAAGCGTACGATAATGTGAATTGGGATTTCCATGAGGAGTGTGTTTTCCTAATGGGGTTTGGAGGAAGGTGGTTAATATGGATCGAAGCAGCGGTTTTCTCAAGGAGCATGTTCGTTCTGGTAAACGGAAGTCCAACTGAAGATTTTATTGTGTCTAGGGGGTTAAGACAAGGAGACCCTTTGTCTCCTTTCTTATTCACTATTATAGCAGAAGGCTTGACTGACTTGGTTAGAAAGGCAATCGATATTGGGATGTTCAATGGATTTAGGGTCAACGAGATGGTTTCCTACAACATTTTACAGTTGCGGATGACACCATTTTAGTGGGGGAGGGCACATGGTCAAATATTTGGGCTTTGAAAGCAATCTTGAGAGGATTTGAATTGGTGCCTGGCCTAAGAACCTATTTGAGGAAGAGTAATATTTATGGAATTCGAGTTTGCGATTATATCATGCAGGCTGCACCTTAATTTCTTTCTGCAGGATTGATAAAATTCTTTTTAAATTTCTTGCATAAGGGGGTAATCACAGAAGAGTCAAATTTTGGAAACTAGTTTTCTCTTTATTGAGAGCCAAGTTATCTGATTGGAAAGTGAAGCTTCTATCTATAGGTGGTATAGTTGCTTTGATCAATTCCTCCCTCACGAACCTATTGGTGTATTGTCTTTCTTTTTACAAAGTTCCTGTTAAAGTGGGCAGGAAATTGTTGGAATTCAGAGGTCCTTTTTGTGGCAAAGGGCGGTAGAAAGAAGAGGGATTGCATAGATCAGATGGGAAACTATATGTAAGGAGAAAGCGATGGAGGGGTTAGGCATAAATGATGTGATGACTTTTAATAGAGAATTACTAAGCAAATGGGTCTGGGTGTTTTTAAAGGAGGAGTATGCAATTTGGGTGGGTATTTTAGAACATAGATATGGTTGTCTACAGAAGAAATTATGGCTGAAAGAAGGACCGAGTAGGAAAAATTTGAATCTCTATGGTGGAATGATGTTATAAACTTAAGGGGACTGTCAAGAATCCGATGGAATGTTGTAGCTTTGTTCTTACAGGTTAGGATCAGGGGATAATATCCCATTTTGGTATGTAAAATGGATCGGTCATGCATCTTTGGGAACATGTTTCCAAACTATTTTCAAGCTTGACCCAACAAATCATCCAGTATAAAGGAGATGGGGGAATGGATTAATGAGGGGTGGATTTGGAAAGTCGATTGCTCTTTTTCAGTTGAGGCACGTATAGAGAATTGGAAGTTGTGGAAAGAGATGGATTTTGTGTATTTTGTCTGATTATTCTCCTTGCAGGGTCGGTGATGATGTGGTGGTGTGGCTGTATGAAAGTAATAGGATTTTCTCGGTGAAGTCGTGTTACAAAAAGTTAGCGCAACTTTCAGTATTATCTGAGATTGATGCGGGTTTTCCAATGCTTAAAGGTGGTATGTGATTCGTTTATTCCGTCTAAGGTGAAGATTTTCGCATGGAGATTGTTTCGTTATCGATTACCCACTAAAATACAATTGGTAAGAAGGGGAATAATCCATGACCCTCTTATATTTTTGTGTGTTTTTTGTTCCAATAATGATGAGACTTTGAACCACGTAATTGTTAACTTCCCTTGATGAGAGACGTGTGAAGCAGGATACTATTTTGGCTTAAGATTGAATATAAAGTCATGGGGGATTGTTGCAGTTTCTTCCTTCGGTTTGTAGCAAAAATGGAGGGTCTGGTTCTTAGGAATATAGTGGATTTTATTTGGAAGGTTGTGTGCTGGTGTGCCTGGAAAGCTCGAAATGAAATGTTTTCTAAGAGGCAGTAGGTTCATTGGAAGAAATTGTTTTTAAAGTCAAAATGTTTACATGGTGGTGGCTAGCTATAGGCTCCAAAGGGAGGGTCCAATGTAACTTCTACGAATGGTGCAAGTGTCCTATTGGATCAAGTGAAGTATGTTAAAGATGAATAAGGAAAAATCTTGGTTCAGGAAAATCTATATATATATATATATATATATATATATATATATATATATATATATATATATATATATATATATATATATATATATATATATATATATATATATATATATATATATATATATATATATATATATATATATATATATATATATATATATATATATATATATATATATATATATATATATATATATATATATATATATATATATATATATATATATATATATATATATATATATATATATATATATATATATATATATAGGCTTGCTAAGGGAAGAGAAAGAAAGACAAGAGATTTAGATCAAGTGAAATGTGGAAGACGTATTTCTATGACTTATTTAATGAAGGATATGATATCTCAGCGGAATCTAGTAGACTCGTTATTAGAAAAGAGGATTGAAATTATAATTATTGTCGTCAGATTAGAAACAAGAGGTAAATGAAGCGTTGAAAATGATAAGTAATAATAAGGTGGTTGGGTCTGACAACATACCTATTGAATTAAGGAAAATTCTTTGTGATAAAGGTATTGAGTGGCTTACTAAAATCTTTAATGAAACTATGGGGTCAAAGAAAATGTCAGACAAATGGAGAAGAAGCACTCTAGTTCCAATATATAAGAACAAGGGGAATATACAAAATTGTGCAACTTATAGGGGGATTAAACTTATGATGCATACCACGAAGTTATGGGAAAGAGTGATTGAATGGAGACAAAGAAAAGAGACTCAAGTCACTAAGAATAAATTTAATTTTATTCCTGGAAGGTCCACCATGGAAGCGATCTATCTACTATGACGTGTGATGGAGCAGTATCAGATGAACCGATAGGAATTGCACTTAACATTTATTGATTTAGAGAAGGCGTGTGATAAAGTTCCTATAGAGATTTTGTGGAAATCTCCATAGAGAAGAAATGGGTTAGGATTACGT